TGCCTTGATCATCCATCCAGACGTGGTCTGCCTCTCCTTTCTAGTCTCTTAGTCTGCTGGCTATGTTGAAACCTGTCCACTATGGGTGACCCTCGTTGTTTTAAGTACTACCAAGCTGATTCTTACTCATAGTGACCCTGTACAGGGTTTCTGAGAGGTGTCTGGTGAGTTTGAACTACTGACTTTTCCTACAGAGTCATACCAGGACTGCATGGGTGACCCTTCTAGTATTTAAAATACCGGTAGCATAACTATCATAGCAACACACAAGCTACCATAATATGACAAAGTGACAGATGAGTGGCGCTGTAGATCTTAGCCTTCCACAAACCAAGTGCTTTAGAATTTAAGTTCTATTGCATTTTCAAGATGAATGCTATATCAGAGTTTGCTTTGCAATTCAGAATTGTGAAGTATTAAAACTTATAAAAACCCAGGTACTGGCATATCTGAGTTGAGTGACTTCTTACTTAAATTAAAAACTCCATTTTGAATTGAATACAGTCTTTTATTTTTGCTTTTTCAAAAAAAACACTCTTTTTTTTCTTCAAAGTTTAACTGCTTGAAAAATGAAAAAGATAAAGGTCAGGGTTTCTAATCTGGATAAAATTTTTCTTGGTGCTTATTGAAAATGTTTGGACTCCTGGCCCCAGAGAATAGGAGGATAGGAGATAGAACTGAGACTGTGAAATGAAGTTAGAGCCTGCAAATAACTTTGCGGTGGTCATGGTGGGGGTGGTGATGTGCTGTGGATTTGGTTCTGACTCTGTGTAGGTCTCTGAGGCTGTAAATCTTCAAAGGAGCAAAAAGCCTCATCTTTCTTCCGAGGAGTAGCTGGATTCAAAGTGCTGACCTTTTGGTTAGCAGTTCAGCTTGTACTCTACTACGCTACCAGATCTCCTTAAATAACTGTAGCTAACAACAAGAATAACAACAACAACAACAACAAAAACCCACAAAAAACAAACTACTGTTGTCGAGTGAGTCGATTCCTACTCATAGAGATCCTAGAGGACAGAGTAGAATTGTTCTGAGACTGTAAATCTTTATGGAAGCTGACTGCATAGGTTGGCTCAAACCACTGACTTTTCAATGAGCAGCTCAACATTTAACCCACTGCACCATGAAAGCTCCTCCTTTGTTGTCAAGATAGCTATACAACAAGTCCTAGTTCATGTCCTGAGTCCCCAAATTTCACTCATTAGCATTCTCCATTACTAACCTTCTGCCATCCAATTTGATTCCACTCATACCGCCCTTTGTAAATTTGTAATTAAGGTTGTTGGAATAATGAGATGGACTGAAACTACAGCAAAAAATTTGCCTTGACAAGAATTATTTGTTAAACAGTTCTCAAGATGTTAACAATCTCAGAATACCCCAAATAAAATTACTGATAATCTGTAAAGTTGTAGTTTAACAAACCCTGGCTATGTTTCTTCCCCCTCCTTGTGAGCATGTATTCTTTGTTTAATTCACCTTTTAATATCCTATACTGTCCGTCTGCAACTCAGAACATTGCACATTCCATAATCTCTCCCACTTTGAAATGATTCTATTGCTTCAATAAAATATTCATTTTAATTTCTATGAGTGTCAGTCTACACTAAGACAGCATCATACAGTTCAGTTCCAGATTGTTGTTTTTAAGTGTCGTCAATTTGGTTCTGACCCATAGCGACCCTGTATAGGGTTTCCAAGGAGCATCTGGTTAGCTTGAACTGATGTCCTTGTTATTCAAAACAATTTTGCAGTCCAGCACATTAACTTACAGTGCTATACCAGAGCTCAGATCAAGATAGAAACTGATTATTCAGGAAATTGTTTAGAGAGCTGCAGAAGTCCAGTGGGGGTGGTACCCAGTGTACAAGTGAGTGGATTGGACTGAGAATACAGTATGGGCTGGGTCAAACTACCCAATAATCAAGGTAAGCATGGCTTATTTACTAATCTGTTATGAACAGTTTCAATACAGATTAGTGTGTAAGCACAAATAAACTGTGTTTACCTTGCTTTGGTTGGTTGGTCATGTGCTATGGAGTCAGTTCTGACTCATAGCGACCTTATATAGAGTTTCTGTGGCTGTAAATCTGTATAGGAGTAGAAGGCCTCATCTTTCTCCCATAGAACAGTTAGTAGTTTTGAACTGCCAACCTTGAGGTTAGCAGCCCAACTCATAACCACTACACTACCAGTCAGGGAGTATACATTTGAAAAGAAACTTTGATTCTGTAGGAAAGTGCTATGGAGTTGAGAGAGAGAGAGAGACTGATGCCAGCCATACTTAGAAGCTGAATCTTTAATGTGATGAAAAGTGTGAAATTGGTCATTGCAGATTAGTGAACACAAGTAAGTCTGTGCTTCCCTTGCTTATGGAGTAATCCAACCCCAAGCAAGGGCAGTTTTTCATTGTAAAAGGAGAGAATACAGAGTATATGATCTCAGATGGAACTGTTGTTGTTAAATGCCGTTGAGTCGGTACTGACTCACAGTACTCCTGTATATGGTTTGTGAGGAGCAGCTGGTGGGTTTGAACTGCCAACCTTTTGGTTCGCAGTCCATTGCTGATACTACAGCACCACACCAGGAGTCTTTCAGAGGGAATTGAGTGAGGTGATGGTGATGTGATTTTGATTGTCTTTTTCTTCTGCAAGTGAAATAAATGAAAGGCGGTGTTATCAGTTGTGAGTTACTTACAGAAGAGATAACATAAAAATATTTAGAAAAACCAGAGAGGGAAATAATTAGGGGCTGGTACTTCTGGTCATAAATTTAAAGACAGATGATGGTTAAGAGAGAAGCAAGGAGAAAGTCAGCATTCACATGAGATTTTTGGAGCTAGAATTTTTGACTGCTGCTGTGTGCTGTGGAGTTGATTCTTACTTCTAGTGACCTTGCATAGGGTTTCTGAGGCTGTAAATCTTACTAGAGTAGAAAGCTTAATCTCTTTCCTACAGAGCAGCTGGTGGATTTGAACTGGTCACCCTGAAGGTAGCAGCCCAATGCATAACCCTCTATGCTACCAGGGCTCCTTGGAACTTTTGACATTGAGAGGATAAATGGTTATAAAGTTGCAAGGCATCAATGACCATATCATGCATGGCATCTTCAAGTCCTGTAACACATGAGATGGCGGAGAAAAATACACACACCTCTTGAGAGATTACTGCAGAAGAAACAGTCCTCATAGGATAATCAGTTTGGGGGTTGGTTAAAATAGGAAGGTTGAGGTTGTTATGCTTTCTCCCTGTGGCTCCTAGTTCCATTTCACCTATTTTTCCAACCTTGCTCAACTTTGTCCTTAGGTACATGTTGCCCTTTTGATTTTGAATGATTGACTGCTCTATTATTCATAGTGTTTCATCCCTTCTATATACCTATCAACTACTTGGCTGAAAGAGGGTGTGTTCCTTACCAGATCTGAAGAGTGGTTGAGGGCCACAGTCTCAGGTTCCTCCAGTCTCTTTCTGACCAGTAAGCCCAATCTTTTCTAAAAAGAATTTTGAGTTTTGTTCTGCACATTATGTGGCTCTATCCAGGACCTTGTAATGTGACCCCTTTCAGAGCTGGGCACCATCTAGTTCTTCTGATCTCAGAGTTAGGGAGACTGATGTTCACATGCTCCTTTGGTTTAATTGATTCCAAGCATAAGGAGGGCATTCTTGAGGAATTGATGAGGTTGGGTAATTTTTGTTATGTACCACAGAGTCGCTTTGGACTCAGAGCAACCCTATATTCAACAGGATGAACCTAATTACTCCATCCTGTACCATCCTCACAATTGTTCTGTTTGAATCCATTGTTGCTGCCACTGTGTCAATCCATCTCATTAGGAGTTTTCCTGTTTTTTCTTTAGGATGAAAAATCTGTTTTGGAAGAAGTACTGCCAGATTACTTCTTAGCATTCACGATGGCGAGCCTTCTCTTACATATTTTAGACATGTCAGGAAGGACCACGAGAAGGACATCATGCTTGGTAAAGTGGCAGTTCAACACAAAGAGGTTGGTTTACAGCAGGGGCGGGGAATGACTGGCTCACAGGCCGTATGTTGTTGTTGTTGTGCGCCATTGAGACGGTTCCGACCCATAGTGACCCTGTATAGGATTTCCAAGGAGCTGCCGGTGGGTTTGAACTGCAGACCTTGTGGTTTAAACTGACCTTGCACTCCAACGCATTATCCTGCAGAGTCGCACCAGGACTCCTAAGGCCTGCTAAATCTTTTGCTCTGGCACCTGCCATGGTGCAGTTCCATCCATCACATTGTTGTTGTGTTGTTGAGTCGGCTTGGACGCATAGCAAGGACTGGTTGGTGAGTTTGAACCACCAACCTTGTGGTTCAAACTTACCTTGAGGTCTAGTGCTCACCGTTGTTGTTGTTAAGTGCCGTTAGTTCTGACTCAGCGACTCTGTACAGGGTTTCTGAGAAACGGCTGGTGAGCTTGAACAGCCGACCTTGAGGTTCAAACCCACTTTGCAGTCCAGCACATTAACCCACAGCGTTACACCAATGCTCACTTTTAATTTCCCTGTGAGGTCGTTGAAAATTGAGTTGTATATTTAAAAACTATGTATGGTTCCCAAAGCACTGTTATTTTCACACGGTTGCACGTGTCACAAATTTTCCCTTTAACTACAAGCGATGGTCAAGTTCCTTTCTCTTGATCTAGAATGAGGCCTTCAATCCTAAAGTTCACATTTCGCTCGCGCATGTGCACGCTAGTCAAAGAGCCGTTGGCGCCAAAAATGCGCAGGCGCGCTGATTGCAGCGTCTGTCTTTGCGGCTTGCGGCCGCGCGCGGCGGGGGCGGGGCTCGCACTCGGCTTCTTTTCTACTAACTGCGGCTTTTGGCAGCGCCATTTTGTCTGTGCAGCCACGGTGCCTGCAAGTCTGGGAAGGCGCTGCTGAAGTCTGCTTCCTGGACGTCCTTTTTCTTGGGGCTCATTTTATTTCCACAGATACCAGTTCATATATATCGAGAAGAACGTACTCCTCACGCCTCAAGATGATGCTACGAGGAAACCTGAAGCAAGTACGCATAGAGAAAAACCCGGCCCGCCTTCGCGCGCTCGAGTCGGCGGCGGGCGAGAACGACCCGGCGGCCGCCACGGCTCTGGCGCTAGCTATGGCCGGGGAGCAGGCGCCATCCGCCGCCGCGCAGGAGGACCACCCCGAAGAGGAGATGGGGTTCACCATAGACATTAAGAGTTTCCTCAAACCGGGCGAGAAGACGTACACGCAGCGCTGCCGCCTCTTCGTGGGGAACCTGCCTACCGACATCACCGAGGAGGACTTCAAGAGGCTCTTCGAGCGCTACGGCGAGCCCAGCGAGGTCTTCATCAACCGGGACCGCGGCTTCGGCTTCATTCGCCTGGTGAGTGTCGGCCGCACGCGGCTCCGGAGGCGCTGCGGAAGCGACCGGTGCGGGAGGCCGACGAGCCAGGAAACAAAGGGGGCTCGCCGCGCGGCGCCGGCGCCGGCGGGAGGATGGAGACCCTTGGGCCCGGGCCTCCCTTCTCCGAACATCCTTGCTAGGCTGCTGCCCTCCCTCCGCCTCGGTCGCCTTGCCTTGGTGTCCAGCACGGCTGCTTATTAAGCCTTTTATCCAGAGTTGGGGCCCTGGGCTGTGCGCCCCTCTGTTTTCGGGTCTTAGGACTTTGCTGCGGGGGGAAGGCCTGCGGCCACGCGCTTCCATGGCTGGAAGTGAACTCGGCCGCTGGTCGCGCAAAAGGCCTTGCGATTCGGGGAGGGGGAACGGCGAGCGGGCGGAGCGGGAGGCCGAATTATAGGGGAAAGAAACGGGTGGAATTGAGAAATCTCTTTGGAATAGACGCTTCAGTCTTCACAGATGTTAACTTGAGCGTGAAGGTCCCAGGAGACCTGGTGGCGCAGTGGTTAAGTGCGCAGCTGCTAACCTAAATAAAGGCTCGTGGTTGGAACCCACCAGCCTGCACCTGTAAAGATGACAACGTTCCAAGCCCAAGGGGACAGTTCCACGCTGCCCCGTAGGGTGGCTTCGAGTCGGAATCCACTAGTGGGCAGTGGGTTTGATTTCCACTCCCCACCTCAAATGCAAGCCCAACCCAGCAGATCTGCTTCTTAAACCATTTTGGCCTCGCTCGATGTGCGTATTTCTCACGTCTTCCCAGAACCACGATTTACCTGAAACTGTCAGTTACCTAAACTCTCTCCTCCAGTTGCCCTGTTCAGTCTGTGATAGATAAGGGTCGGTATTGCGGTATTTTATATTGAATGCAAAATGATCTCCCCCAACATATTGAGAAGGAGATTTCCACGTGTTTTGAGGATGAAATACATGCTACTTTATATTCACAGCTTCATATTGTTGTGGACAAATGGAATGAAAAGATGATGGAATTTTCCCACAGACTTTTTGAAGCGCCTTTGTATATTAAAACCCTTTTTGACCCAAATCTTGGCAGCTATACGATGTAGCGGTTACTAATCAGACTGCGAACCTCAAGGTCGGCAGTTGGAAACTACCAGCTATTCCGCTGGAGAAAGATGAGGCTTTCTGCTCCCGTAAAGATTTACAGCCTCGGAAACCCTGGACAGGGTCGCTATGAGTCGCAATCAATTCCACGGCACTTAACCACAAGAAAACCAGTTAGTATGACTATTATTCAAATTTATGCACTAATCAGTAATGCCAACTATGAAGAAATAGAGGATTTTTACCAACTCTTGTAGTCTGAAATTGATAAGACATTCAGTCAAGATGCATTGATAAATACTGGGGATTGGAATGTGAGAGTCGGAAATAAAGATGAATAGGTAGTTGGAAAACAGTCTTGGTGTTGGAAAATATGGCCTTGGTAATAGAAATGATGCCAGAGATTGCATGATAAAATTTTACAAGACTTACTCATTGCAAATACCTATTTTCAACAACATAAATGACAGTTATACACGTGGACCTTACCAGTTGGAGTACACAGGAATCAAACTGCATTTGTGAAAAGAGATGATGGAGAAGTTCAATATAATAAAACAAGGCCAGGAAAACCTTCAGTTGCTCATCTGCAGATTCAAGTTGAAGCTGAAGCAAATCAAAACAAGTCTACAAGAGTCTTAAGTATGAACTTGAATGTATTCCACCTGAATTTAGAGAGCAATTCAAGAATAGAATTAACACATTGAAAACAAATGACTGAAGGCCAGAGGAGTTGTGAGATTACATCAAGAGGCAAGCTAGTGGTCATTACAAAGAGGGAGGAAAGAAAAGACAAAATTAAGATGTCAGATGAGGCTCTGGAACTTACTTTTGAACATAGAGTGGCTAAAGTGAGCAGAAGAAATGGTGGCATTAAGGAGCTAAACAGAAGATTGCAAAGAGCGGTTTAAAGATAGTATATTAATGTGCAAGAACTTGGAATTAGGAAACTAAAATGAAAGAACAGGTTCACTTCTCTAACTGAAAGAACTGAAGAGTAATTCAAGCCAGAGTGCTCCTTGCAGGCCAGGATGGCCAAACTTCATCCCTCATACTTTGGGACATATTGTCCTGGAGTGAGGGCCAGAGAAAAAGAGGAAGATTCCCAGCGAGATGGATTGGCAAAGTGGCAGCATTAATGGGCTCAGGGGTGGCAACAGTTGTGAGGTTGGCCCAGGATCGGGCAGTGTTTTTGTTCTGTTGAGCATAGAGTCGCATGAGTCGGTACCGACTTGATGGACCTAACAAAAAACAACATGGGCAGGATGGTTGGAGTACACAGAATCACCAAAAAGAATTCATTGATGTTCATTCATTTCAGGAGGTAGTTTATGATCAAGAACTGATGGTATAGAGAAGAAGTCCAAACTATACTCAGGCATTGGTGAAAATCAAGGAAACAGGAACTGATGGAATACGAATTGAGATGTTAAAACAAATGGACGAAGTTGTGGAAGAGTTCCCTCATCTGTGCCACAAAATTTGGCCAACCAACTTGAAGAGATCCGTCCATATTTGTGCCCATTCTAAAGAATGTGGAAATTAATGAACAATATCATTAATATCACACACAAGTAAAGTTTTGCTGAAGATAATTAAAAAACGGTTCTAGTAGTACTTCTAATGAGAGCTGTCAGAAGTTCAAACCAGATTTAAAAGAGGACTTGGAATGAGGGATATCATTGCTGATGTCAGATGTGTCTTGACTGAATGCAGAGAATACCAGGAGATGATTACCTGTGTTTATTGTCTGTGCAAAGACATAATGACTGTGTGATTCATATGAATAACTTTGCAAAGAATGGGAATTCCAGCACACTTACTTGCGCTCCTGCAGAACCTGTCCATAGACCAAGAGGCTGTCACTGGAACAGAACAAAGGATTTCTGTGTGGCTTAAAATCGGGTGAGGTGTTGCCAGGATTGTAGCCTTTACCATATTATTCAGTCTGTATGCTGAACAAATAATTTGAGAATCTGGATTTTAAGAAGAACAGGCATCGGAATTGGCGGTAGATTCATTTAACAACGTGTGGTAGGCAGATGACACAACCTTGCTGAAACGGTGGTTGTTAAGTGCCATCTAGTCAGCTCCGACCCATAGCAACCCTGTGTAGGGTTTTTGAGGAGTAGCTGGTGAGCTTGAACCAGCAACACTGTGGTTCAAACTACCTTTGCAGTCCAGCACATTAACCCATAGCACCACAGGCCTTGAAACACTTAACTGATAAAGATCAAAGACTGCATTCTTCAGTATGAGTAACACCTTTAGTTTTAAAAAAAATCACAAGTGGACCAATAAGAAGCATGATAAATGGAGAAAAGATTGAAATGATCAAGGATCTCATTTTACTTGCATCCACAGTCAATGCTCTTGAAAGCAGCAGTCAATAAACCAAGTGATATGTTGTATAAAAGATCTATAAAAGACTTCTTTAAATTATTGAAAGCAAAAGATGTCAGTTTGAGGATTATGGTGCAACTGACCCTAAGCCATGGTATTTTTGTTTGTTTTATCTGCATGTGAAAAGTGGAAGACCATAGAAGTGATGCTTTTGAGTTATAGTATTGGTGAAGAATATTGAATATACTGTATACTTTGAAGAAAGAATTTTAAAAACATTATATTGTGAATTGAGTGAAGATTTACAGACAGAGATAATAGATTTTATATCCAACAAATCATACTTGGTTTCATCTCAATGATTGCAGTCTATGACATTTAACAACAGTTAATCCCACTACCTCTCTGTGCTTCCTATTTCCATTCTACTCACATTTCCATTTCTTCTCAACTTTGTCCTTAAAATAAATGTGACCCTTTTGATTTTGAATGATTGACCATTCCATGGTGAGCATACCTTACTAGTGTCGTCCGCTTTTACACCAGCCTATTGTTTGACTGGAAATTGGGCCACAAGGGTGAGTTCCTTTCCAGATCTGAAAGGGAGGGTGGTCGAGGGCCATCATCTTGGATTTTTCTCCTCTCTTTGTGACCAGTAAGCTGGTCTTTATATAAATGATTTTGAGTTTTCTCATACCCTGTCTGGGCTTTCTAATGTGCCCCTTTCAGAGCAGTTGGTATTGATGGCCAGGCACTATCTAGTTTTTCTGGTGTCAGAGTTGTGGAAAAACAAATCTTGTTACTGAGAATACTAATTGCATCTCTGCCCTGAAGGAGCAGGCTCTTGCCCTATACTGATTATGAAAAGTCTGGTGAACCAGGTCTTTCATACAAGCAAAGATTTATTATAGCAAAGAGACTTGCAAGTGAGACAGGGCTGAATGGAATGCTTAATCCCTACTCCCTGAACAAAGGCTTTGCTGCTGCTACTGTTTGTGGGTTATTCTGTGCAGGGTTTCTGAGGTTGTTAATCCTTATGAGAGCAGAAAGCTTCGTCTTTATTCTGTGGAGCTGCGGATGGATTCAAACTGTTGACCTTGTGGTTAGCACAGTGCAGAATCCTTATGCTACCAGGGCTCCTTAAGGCTTTGTTAGCCTTTACAAAGATTTTAGGTGAGGAAAAAAAGGCACCATGCTTATTTATACAGATAGGCTGGGTTTTCCGGGAAATGGTTTGTTGAAGAGGGGCCATACTAATTGGCTGTATCGGCAGCATTTTAAGGTGAATTCCACCACAAAGACTTCTGGTGGTGGTGTTAAGTGCCATCTGGTTGGTTCCCACTCACAGTTGAATTTGAACCGCCAACCTACAGTTCTGATCAAGCTCAATACCCTCTCCTTGGAAACCCTCAGAACCAACTTGCTGGCACTTAACAATAACCTGCAGTTTAAACCGACCTTGTGGATGTAGTGCTTATCCTGTAGTGCCATACTAGGATTCTACAAAGGTCTCTGGTAGTGGTTGTTAGGAGCCATCTAGTCGGTACTGACTCAGTGACCCTGTCTGTATAGGGTTTCTGAGGAGCGACTGGTGAGCTTGAAGTGCCAACCTTGCAATTCAAACTGACCTTGTTATTAAGTACCCTGGAGTTGGTACCCAGACCCCAGTTAGCTGGGTTGATACAGTGGTTACAACAATGGGCTCAAACAGAACAATGTTTGTGAAGATGGTACAGGACCAGGAAACATTTTGTTCTGTTGTATGTAGGGTCACCATGAGTTGGCGTTAACTAGAGAGTACCTAACAACAACATGCAAAATTGTATTTTTACAAAATACAAAAATTTCACAAAAAAACTTTTTACGAAATTTTTACATTGAATGTTTTTGTGAGACAAATATAAACTTCATTAATTTTCTTGTGTACTTTGTGGTGAATTCCATTAATAATATAGCATTGTTGTTGTGAAGTGCCATAGCAGCCCTGTATAGGGTTTCCGAGGAGCAGCTGGTGAGCTTGAA